CGGCGGGCACCACACGGGCCACCCCAGGAGCAGCGCATCCCGGGGTGGGGAGCCTGTGAGACCCCAGGGAAGCCGAGGACCCGCACACTCACAGGAACCTTCACGCTCAACTTCCCCGGGTTCGGAGCAGCACGGAGCTGCAGGCTGAACGCCTCCGCTCAAGTTCAGAGGCACCAGAGGAACTGAGTCACTGGGCCTCGCCTTGGGCAGGGTACCCACCAAAGCGAAATACCTCTTCCTTTTGTGAGTGGCTGCAGGAAGTACAGGCCTAACGAGGAGGCGTCAGAAAGAATCTGAGGGGATGGAGACCAGTCAGTCACAGGCAACATGAACATCTTTCTTAAAATGTCCATCGAGCTCTTAGAAAATCACGAATTCCCTATTTTTTTTTTAAAAAAAAAGCTTTAAAGTGACTTGTTTAACCTTCCCCACCCCCACACATCTTCATACTAGAGCGTGTCACACCAGATGTGTCTGTGGGACCCCTCACCTGTGCAGTGAGCCCTGCCTGGACAGCTCGCCACTCAGGGGCATCCACGCAGAAGGGCTTTGGAGCCCAGTGGGGCGTCCCCGATCCACGCACAGCCCACGCACAGGCGTCCAGCCTTCCTGTTCGCTGCTATTTTCTTTAATTGACCGGGGCCACTCCACTCTAAGACGCACCCTTTCTTCAGCATATTACAAATGGGTTATGTTCTAAAGTTTTTCCGACCCAGTGGCAGCCAGGAAATCGTAACCTATTTCCCCCCAAAACTATGTTAAAAACAGTGGCTGTGTCCCAGGTACGAGGGAGTGTGGGGCAGGGCAGCCGATGGGCTCGTGAGGCCGAGGCGGGCATTTGCTGGTGAAATGTGGGATCTGTAGCTGTCATCTCTCAAAGTGAATTCCCTGTGACACCCAGGAGGGAAACGGGCAGTTCTGGAAACTCGGGCCAACCTCAAAGAACTCAGAATCTTCCTCTTCGCACGATCATCTTACACGACGAGGTGCTTTCTGTGTGGTGAGCCCTATGGTGGGGAATCCTCTTTCATTCAACCTTCCTGGTTCTTTCGAAATGCCTAGCAGATGCATAAAGAAGAACAACCTTTTCCCCATCTTGACGTGTGGTCAGTAGAATAATAGTCCCCAAAGATGTCCAGGTCTGAAGCCCCAGGACCTATGGCTATGTCGCCTGACCTGGCAAAAGGGAATGACCATTGCGTGGTTCCCGCTGGGGGCCCGCACGCGGGGTTGTCCAGGTGGGTCCAATGTAATCCCAACAGAAAGGCAGCGGTCAGGGAGGAAGGAGACCATGCTGCCTGCTGGCTACCTGCTGGCTTTGAAGGCGGGAGGGGGCCACCAGCCCAGGAACATGGGCCGCCTCTAGAAGCTGCAAAAGGAAGCAGACGGGCGTTGCCCTAGAACCACCAGAAAGGAACGCAGCCCGCAAACACCTCGAGGTTCGCCCGTGAGCACACGTGGACTTGCTAAGATAATGGATGGACACGAATGGATGTTGTTTGGTGCCACCACGTCTGTGCTGCTGTTGCAGCCGCCATGGGAAACGAACGCACCCTGCTTCCCCGCACCCTCCTAAGCACAGATTCCCACCAGGCCTGGTGGCAAGGCAGTCACCGACTAAAAGCGACCCAACCAACCGCTTCCTGCCTGGCCCGGAGGTAAGAACTCCAGGAGAGGGGAGAGATTAAACGGCCAGAGAAGGTAGAGAAAATAGATTCTCCCCACCCCCCAAAAAATAACCCACAAAAAACTAGAGAAGTAGGGAGGGGAAAAAATCCTTCGGAACCAGCCAGAGCAGTGGTTCTCAACCTTCTGGCCCTTTAAATACAGTTCCTCATGTTGGGACCCAACCATAAAATTATTTTCGTTGCTACTTCATAACTGTAATGTTGCTACTGTTATGAATCGTCATGTAAACATCTGATATGCAGGATGGTCTTAGGCGACCCCCGTGAAAGGGTCGTTCGACCGCCAGAGGGGTCTCGACCCACAGGTTGAGAACCGCTGAGCCAGAGGGTTTTTTTGTGTGGGGTTTTGTTTTGTTTTGTTTTGTTTTTTCAATCACAGAGAAAAGCGCACACGGAAGGTAACTAGGGGACATCTGATCCGATGGGCGCCGGTCCCACACGGGCCAGGACCTGCGGCCGGGCCGGGGTCCCCAGAGCTGCTGGCCCCTGGTGGCTCGGGGTCCAGCTGCAGGTCCTAAACCCACCTCCTGGCCAGTCCAGTTCCTCAGTGACTTTCTGGCCAACAAGCAGAAAGCCTGCGTTCGCCACGGAGCCAGCGCCACTCGGGTGCCCACATGAGCGTTTTCAATCCTGCGGCCTCGGCCTCACGGACACGATGCTCACCCCAAACCACCTTCCCAAACGCCCGCGTTTCCGGCTATTTGAGGGGGACACCCTGGCGCCGGCCAACGGACAGGCTCAGGGTAGCGGGAGGGAGCCGGGGCTCTGAAGTTTTCGTCAAGTTTCCGCTGTCTGGGTGCACACGCGACAATGCCAACTTGGGTCTCGGTCACCGCACCCTCGGGCGCCCCAGCCCGGCGTTTTGGGGTCAGTGGCCGATGGACCCGGTCCGCCCGGTCCGCGATC